TGACCTGACACACTGACCCCGACCCCCGACCCAGTTCTGTCGTCGGGTTCAGCTAGTAGCTGGTACCAGTCTGAGATATCGCGGGTCGCGGCTACAGGACGGTATTAAGATATTTTTGATGTTGCAGAGCCCTTCTCGGTTCCCTTAAGACATTGGTGTATATGGTACTAAGAAAAATTGCTTATGTTTTCAAGATCTACACGTCATGTAAAGGAAAACTCCAACTTTGCGGACACCCTGTATATGTACTTTCTGTGTTAAGATAACTGTATGTCATTATCTCGCATTTGCTATTGTTGCATTTACTGTGGTTGCAGTTACTATGATTTTAAGGGAATCTAGAATTACTGTTTTTTTGTTTATTACTGGAGTAAGACACTATTAGAAACTATAGGAAGTAGCTTTAAGGCTAAGAATAATAAACATTTCATTTCATTTCATTGCATAGTGTCGTAACTAACAAAAATAAAAAAATTGAGTTACGCCGCCCCAAAACTTACGTTGAACTGATGCAAGTTCCCACAAAGTGACGTAATTGTATGAGCAAAAACCTTTGAGCAATTGCAAAGAAGATAAATGGTGTATCTAACAAAACTTCGTTTTTAAATCACACTAAACGACGTAACTTGATTTACGACAGTTTGTGAGAAATAATTATTGGTGCAGTATCGAATCACATAAAGTGGCGTATGTGTAGTATCTAGTTGTGTGTTCAAAAGCATCAAGTATTACCCAGCAAAAGGTGTAAAATCTGTAGTTCTATATTTAGATGGATGTTTTGGCCAGAACAAGAACTCGATTATGGCTGCCATGATGTTGTATGTAGTTCAGAAAATCAACGGAACCGAAACCATATCTCTACGTTTTTTTGAGACCAATCATGGACAAAGTGATGGAGATTCTCAGCACATAGCACAATAAGTACAGCTATTTCAGAAGTTGGTGATATTTTCATTCCCAGCCAACTTTACACTATAATCGAATTAGCCAGACGAAAAAATCCATACAAAGTCATTCCGATGGGCTGATCAGACTTTCTGGATTTTGTCAAAACTATTACGAATTTTGACAGTTCGCACAAGCAATGAAGGTAAAAACTTAAATTGGACTGATGTTATGGGATTAATGGTCGACAAAAAAGAACCTAAGAAAATATTTTTATTTAAGTATAGCCACTTTGACTCAAAGTATGACTTTATCGAACTACAACGATTGAAGGGTAAATTAGGTAATATTAAGGTTGATAATTTAAACAGTGCTCCACGGAAGATAGCGAAGAAAAAATTCGATGATCTTACTTCGCTCTGTAAAGGGTGAAGAGGTTCGGCAACAGCGCGACCATGTGTGAGTGCGTGTCAGCGTGCAAAGTGCGACGGAAGGCAGGTAGTAAGGTATGCCGTTGAGGAGGAGTTGCGCGGGGGACACGGGCATGAGCTTCGATAGGAGCAGCACGTATATCTTCGCTCAGCCCGACGGACGTACGAACTTTGTTTTGAACGTTATTTTATTTTGTCGAATTGTACACTATCAGTTGTAAATCGGCCTCTACCTTAGTAAATAAAGTGATATCGCAGTAACACCGTCTTCCTACCCATTAACCTGAGAGAGCTAGCTCGGGAACTATTCAAGGGAATACTCCTGTTATAAAACTTACCGAATTCCAAAACATTTACTACAATCTGCCACATCAAAATTAGTTTGCATTTGAAAAACTGCATTTTTTTGCTTTAGTTACCATGTATTATACTTTTAAGTTTTCTGGTTTATTCTTTTACTGTTTAAAAAATGAACATTTGTTTGTATTTGAAAAACAGTTTTTTTGTATCTTAGTATTATAATTTTATGTATTTGCTGGTTGATTCTTATTGATTTACTTGAAAAGCATACAATTCATTGTATTAAAATGAAAAAGTCTCCTCAAATAGTTTTTCGGTATTACCAAGAAACATTACACCCAGTTTCGTTTTTTCGCTCTACTGTAAAATCTCTAAAATGTCACTTACGACACTATGTGTGGAAGGGGACTATATGTTCTTTTGACAAAATCAGCGAAGTATGGATACACCAAATATCTCGAGAATATGTGTCCTAGAGAAAAATGTTATAGAACAACGCTGTAAGGTTTCAAAAGGTTCAACGAATGGTGAACTTGAACATAAACTTGACTGTGACCTTCAAGGTCAGGGACCAAGATGGTTTTCTTAAATGGAAACCCCTATTTTTGACATCGAAATTGTAGATAGCAGACAACTTTTTGTTTAGATATGTCCACGACCGTGGCTATGACCATCATAGCCATTTGAAAATCAAATGAATTTATCATGATATTATAAAATGAAATTGCGGACAATTTTACGTCGAAGTATATCATTGCCTATGAACCTGACCATGTCCTTCAAGGTGATAACTGTTTAAGTAATCTCCTTACTTTTTGTCGGAGAAATCAAAAAACGAAACATTTTACGATCAAGGTCACTATCATGTACTTGACCGTCACGTTGACAATGATATTCAAGGTCATTTGAAGATTGAATTGATTTTTCAATTGGATACTCATATGCTCGATTCAAGAACAGTAATTTCACGTCCAGCTAAATCCTCGACCATCGTAAAACCTCCAAGGTCATGGTCACATTCAAGGTCACAATGCACTTGGACTTACTTGAATGCAAAATCTTCCGCTCTTTACATATTTGGTGTCAAAAATTGGTGTTTCCATTTAAGAAAACGGTCTTGACCTTCAACTGACCTTGAAGTTCATAATTAAGACAACGTTCAAGGTCTTCAGTAGATGATCCTTTTCAGACCTTACAACTGAGTTTCTATCTCATTTCTATCTGGGAAACTTATTTTTTCGAGATATTTTGATATAACCGTTTTTGGGCACTCTGCATATTCATGATCTTTTGGTTTGTACTTCGAACTAGTTTTGCACTCAGTGTAAAAATGTCGCACAATCTGGAGGAGCTCGTGCTGGTGTTGTCAACTGTCTACAATGTCACGCTTTACAACTTTCACTTGTGGTATTGCAGTCAGTCATGCTTTTATATTCAGTTATTTCATGATTGTTCTTCCCTCTTCTTAAAAAAAAAACAACAGCTTGAAAAGGGATAAAGAAATGAAGAAAATTTTTCAATGACAGCTAACAGCACAACAAAAATAAAGACATAGACGTTTCATGTTTTTTTTTTAGTATGAACAAGGACAGAGTGTTCCAAACACGGAAACTGCGACAGTTTTATCAAAAGAAACGCTATAAAATGTAAAAATTTTGCAAAGTTACCTGTTGTACAAATTCTCCGTGTCAAATTTCATACCGTGTAATGATAGATAGATAAATATGATTATAATCTGAAGAATACAATCATTCTTGATGATAAAGTGAACCTAAACTATAACATAATTACATATGTGGATCTTAAGTACGTGAATTGTAGAATTCACACACTCAGGGTATAATATAATCTACATATTAAAAAGTTTTCAAGTTCACGGCGGAACATCTTTAAAGTGATAATTCCTTTGACAGCACCAGGGATACACTTGTAAATTTTCAGACCATTATAAATGATTGAGTCTTTCACAAGTGTTGTTTTAGGTACTACTAATTTAATATATTGTTTTCGTCTAATATTGTAACGTATATTTAATGTTTGAAATTTAGATTTATTTTTAAAAATAAGAGTCGCTGTTTCTAAAATGAACAATGATACGACAATCATGATTTTAAAATTTAGAAATAAAGGCCTGCATGTAGCTATACGATTGCTTTTAGTTTTATGAGTGCATCTAAATGTTTTTTTTTGTTGACAAATGAAACAATAGAAGTTGGAGAAAGACTTAGTGCTGTTCAGGCTGCTTTAGTTTTTTAAATACAACGTGGAAAAATTTGTTCATGTGACTTCCACATGATAGTAGTAATACCCTCGGAGGTAATAAAAGCAGAATTCATTTTTCTTTTAAAGTCAACTGTGACATCAACCTTTATAGGAAAAATCACCAGTCAGCGTCTTTTCTAGTTATTCCTAAGATTTAGGATCTCGGAAGCTGTAAGAGATACGAAGTAGCTCAAGTGGGGGAAAGGTTACGTATTTAGGTAACTGACTGGTACTTGCGGAGATAGACGAAAGAAACTGATTTTTCCCAAAATCATTCTAGTTTTTTCCTGGCTTAATTTGCAATGGTATTTTAAAATAAATTGCATATTGATCTTGCCACTTTTTCTCCTCTACAAGATAACATTAATCAGAAGTTCGACATGACGTATTGTCTATTGTCCACCAGCTTCAACTTTATTTTTTTTATGGACGTCATTTTGGATTTTTGGACAGAAGAATAGATTTCTTAATTCTGATTCCAAAAATGTATCACGTGTTATGTATTGCCACTGCCAACCTTTATTATTTGAAAAAAAAACTGAATTACCTAGGAAGGCCTTCATACCATAATAAAATCATTTTTTTGTCCTCACTTTATATGAGATGGCATTCCAAAATGAATTGCATGTTGTTATTGCCACTTTTTCTCTTATACAGGAAATAAACGATTCTGCGATAATTTCATAGCCTACCTAGAAAGTTAATTTTTTTTGAAATAACTAAGGTTTATTAATGTCCATGTATAACATATTATATACTTTTGAAATCAGATTTACAAACTCTATTCATCTGAACAAAAATCCAATATTAGAAACAAATAAAAATACCGCTACAAATAAAGTCAGGAAAAAATTAAAATGATTTTGGGAAAATTCTGTTTTTTCCGTCTCTCTCCGGTAGTACTTTGGGTTTCAAAACTTTTTAAGCTGCATTTTATTAGTTACCTAAATTCGCAACTTTGCCCCTATTTAAGCAACTTTGTATGTCTAGAAGTTTCCGAGATCTCAATGGTGAGGGTCAAATATGAAACACCCAGTAAATAGTTGTAAGACTAAGTGTTTGGTGGCGATTATTTTCATGCATTTAATTGAAGTTAATGAACGACATAACTTAAAAGTATACCTGATAGCTGGAGAAGTTCATATCTGCTCCATTGGTAACCAGCAGCTCAACAAGTTGCGACGCCGCCTTTGACTCTCTCACCTCCATAGCACAGACATGGAGAGCCGTTTTGCCATCTACATGGCTGACATGGTTGGCATCAGCACCCCGACTTATTAGGTACCTTTAAAGAAATTGGAGAATTTTCAATATACATAACCAATAAAAACACGCTATGTTTTGAAAAGTAGAATGAAACGCAACATTAACTGTTTTGAAAAGAATCTGTTTGTACCATCTATGAGTAGTTTGCACACATCACAATATTGAGTTTTTCAATAGAGCCTTTTTCTTTTGTTTGATAACCACCATCTGTCTCCATATGACTAGACTTATCTTAAAAACAAAAAATCACCTGTATATGACAATATAAGAGCAGACAAATTATAGCTATCTATATAGCTAAACCTCTTACGTTCATAATAAATTGGATTTTTGAAACTTGTAACTATCCCAATGCAATTAAATCGACTTTAATTACACCAATACATTAAAGTGGGGATAGATCAGATCTGAATAACTATTTGTTACAACAAACTTAGCAAACATATTTGAAAAGATCCTGAAAATACGACAATTTATTGATGAATTCAAATTAATACCTGATTCACAGTTTGGCTTTAGGAAAGGTGTATCTACTAAAGATGCCATGAAATTATTAGTAGGACTTAACTAAGAATATTGCTAACAATCCAACAAAGGCAGTATTCAAAAAAGCAGATGACACCATAGATCACAAGAAACTATTGAGTCAATTGGAATACATTGAAATTTGATTATTTTTATTATTATATTAATTCAAAATTATTTGCATAACAGAAAATATTAGGTTATTGAAAATACAATGACTGTAATGTATGGAGTTCCACAAGAAACAATACCTGCGCCCCCTCTTTTTAGTATATACAGTAATGGACAAAAGTACGTATATAGACAAATATGAATATTTACCTAAATACCTTTAGAAAATGAATTCATACTTCATTGCTCCATAAACAAATGCGTTATTAGTAGAACAACTAAATTCCTTGTTTTTACATTATCTGCAATGAACACAATACAAGTCTGAATATAAGCACTTTTTTATGAGGGACAAAAATATGTAGACAAATTTTTTTCAACATTAGTTTAGTACAGTTTCGTGTCAGAAGAGGATTATTTTGTGTTCATCAAGTAAGTATTGTGGAATAAGTTGAGTGATTTTCAGACCATGCCGCGTGGTAAAGAAATTTCTTTCGATGTGAAAACTAAGATCATTAAGTTATACAAAGATGGTCAACGTCAAGTCGACATTGCCAAAAATTTGAAGCTGAAGCGTAAAGCAGTTTAGGCAATATTGAACAAATATAAACAAAAAGGTATCTTGGAAGCCTCTAAGAGAAGTGGTCGGCGTAGAAAACTAAATGCTAGATCAGTTAGATTAATAAAAGTAATTTCGTCCAAAGATCCGTTTAAACCCCAAGACAAATAAAATTCGAAATCGAGACAAAAAGGAATTGTCAGTGTTTCTACGAAAACTATAAATAGAAGATTAAATGATTTGAAGTTATTTGCACGTCGCCCTAGTAAGAAGCCGCTAATCTCGAGGAAAAACCGTAAGGACCGATTACAATTTGCACGGTTGCATCTTGATTGGAGCATCTATGACTGGAAGAGGGTATGTTTCAGTGACGAGTTTGGATCAGATGGTGCTCATTACGTTAGACGTTCTAGTGGACAAAGACTGAACCCCAAGTACACTTTGCCCACTGTCAAACATGGAGGCGGGTCTGTTATGGTTTGGGGGTACTTTTCGGGGTTTGGGATGGGACCTTTACATAGAATAGATGGCATTACGGATAAGTTTGTATACACAGACATACTAAAGCATGTCATGTTACCCTATATGAAAGACAATATGCCCTTAAGATCAATCTTCCAGCAAGATAATGACCCGAAGCACACTTCAAATCTCGCAAAGAAATTCTTTCTGGATGAAAAAATGCCAGTTCTCAAATGGCCTTCATAGTCTCCCGATATAAACCCCATTGAAAATCTATGGGAATACTTAGATAAGCAAATACGAGATAAAAATTATTTAAACAAGGATGCACTTTTTGTCGCTTTAGAGAAAAATTGGAGACAGATTGATGAATCTTATATCAAGAAACTTCTACAATCTATACCGAGACGTGGCCAGGCGGTGACTGATAATAATGGTTATGCTACAAAATATTAACACAAACATGGTTGCTTTTCTATAATTCAATGAACTTTGCTTCGTTTTTCTATAATTGTTTTGCTTTGTCTATATATTTTTGTCCTTCATAGTTCCAGTTTTTTCAATTAATTTTTTATTGAAGGGAGTCTAATGAATTTATTTATGTATAAGTGAGTATTATGCTATAACGAATTATGTATACAGGTTGGTGTATTAATAAAACAAGTTAAAAAAGAAATACAGCACAATATTAATTTGTCTATACACATTTGTCCATTACTGTATATCAACGACATGTATAACCTATCAATAAAAAGTGAAAAAATAATAATTGCAAATGACACCACCATCATCCATAAAGACTGAACTTAGTCAACATTAAAATGGTCACGATAAACTAAATTATAAGTATCTCGGACTTTAAAACTCCCAACGAAGATGGGAATATATACTACACAGAAATTTAGATTTCTGTTATATAAGTATAAGATATTACAGAAAATTGGCAATGAAACTCGATTAAAAATTTTATACCAAACATTAGCTGAATGCCACATAACCTTTACAAATAATACAAAAATTATTCATGAAAACAATGCATAACAAATCTTCAGCATATTCCTCCAAATCGCTGTTTATAGAATCAAAACTTTGGAAAAAAAAATTATTTTAGTATAAAGAATTCCATAAAAACACTACCATTTATAAAAAATATGAATATGATACTAGAAATAAAAACTAACAAATAGTTATTGCAACACCAAACAAAAAAAGGAAATAATGTTGAAATCATCTATTTTATTCATGTTTGTATTTATTTTTTTATGGGTTAAGTGGAAAAATAGCTTGAGCTAAACTTCGCCCAAATAAAAAGACGTTTATTATTATTATTCATCTACTTAGGTCTAAAATTATATCATGATTTACCAACATAGAAAAAACCAAATAGCATTAAAATAGTTTTATACCATGATATATGCATGACGTAATTTATGAAAACTTTAACATATAAATATCATTTCCGCATTACTAATTTATGTTACAAAATTAATGTATTATCTTTATATAGTATAGATTTTCATAGTCCTAATAAATTAATTTATTGTAACTAATGTTATATGTGTAAGAATGATATCCATACTCAAGGATATTTTCCTTTTGTGGCATATCTATTTATTCATAACTTATAATTTATTGTATTATATATTGTTAAAACGCATGAAAAAAAAAAGACGTGATACATCACAAAGAATTTACCTCGCCAACGGAATGTTTTTTCGTGAACAGGCGACCATTAACGGCGTGCCGCCTTCATCGTCCCTAGCATTGACTAGACCACCCGATTCTAGCAACATTTGAATTATTTCCAAAGAATTGTTCATAACGGCGCTATGCATCAGGTGGTGGGAATGGACTATCCGGGCGCCCTTCTCCAGCAGCAATCTAAGAAAAAAAGGCAAATCAACATATTCGAGTTTTAGGAACTGTTGTCATCCAGACGTATTCTACCTGAATAAAGATAACCATATACTATGCGATAGTGGCAACGTAGCGTTCGGACTGGCAACACTGGAGGCGCCGGGCTTAGAGGAGAGATAGGGGAACATGTGATTCGCCTGTAGTACTAGTTTGAACTCGAGTCATTTGGTTGTTCGTCGCGTTTTTTTTTTGTGAATCACTTTTTCCTATTAGGTTTAGCTTCAGACTGGGTACAGTGCAACGGAAACACGAGCCTACGAAGACAGTGTTTTGTCAAGAGCCCAGGTTTTTCGGTGGTTTAATGCATTTTCAGAAGGGAGATAGTAGATTGCACATAAACCACGAAGCGGAAAGCATTCGTCTTCAAGAATCAATGAAAATATCGGAATCCGGGATCTTGTCTTGTCAGAATGATCGGAGAATAGTTAAATTTGACTCACTTCACCCTTCATCAATTCAAGAACAACTGGCTGTTGCATCACGATAATGCTCCTTGTCAGTCAGCAATGTAAATAAACGAATTCTTGGCCAGTAAAACATTTATGTGGCTCCTCAGCCGCCTTATTCGCCTAACTTGAGTCCTTGTAACTTTTTCCTCTTCACAATGTTGAAAAATCACCTCAAGGGAACTCATTTTGGGACAATCGAAAACAGTCAGACGGCTGAAGGCTATTCCAGTATCGGAATTCCAGCACTGCTATGAGGCGTGGAAGAAACGTTTCCAGCCCTGTGTGGCCTTTGAATAAAAAATTAACAAAAAAATCAGTCTCGTCGCTTAATTTACAGACCTCGTATTTTCCGGTCCAAAAAAAGGGTATGAATATGAATTTGAAATATACTTTGAAAAGAGTTAAGAGAGTTTGTTTCTCCTACCGTCTCATAGATTGTGCTAGAATATTTAATCATCCTTTTGGTTCATGTTATGCTTATCTTAATTGGGTATATTCAGGTGGAATATGATGACCAATGCCTGCTGATGCCCAATTAAAATAGGCATTAGAAAGGCGACAAAAAAGGATTGAAGATCCTAGCATCATCTATGAGGCAGTAGCATAACCAAACTAACTATTTTCAAAGTCGATTTCAAAATTCATTTTTGTGTGTCTCCCACTGTTTCATAGATGGATGTTGTGTCCTTTTTTGGCATCCAGAATACAGTATACGATTGTCTATGTTCAGGTAGAATACGTTAATCAATGCTGAGAGCAAGAGGTGATATGAACCAGATTTGGTATATACAGGGTGGGCCCATCCATGTGTGGACGGAATATTACTCATTAACAAATACATTTTGGGAAAATCTATTTATGGTATGTTATACATGACATTCGAGGGCACATTTATGAAATATTGGCAATTGTACAGGGTGTCCCAATGTTGACCTACATATGAGTAAAGTTGTGATTTTGTAAATGGAATGCCTCAAATTTTATTGCATATTTGGATAAACCAATTCAAAAGAAGAAGATTCATATAACATACTATGTTACACGTTTTTATTATAATGCTCACAAAGCTAATTTTGACAGTTTGTAACTAATCAACAATTTATTTGTTTCCCAGAATGTTGCGATATTTTAAGGAATTGAGCCGTTCCATAAAAGACGTGCTAATAACCGAAAAAATAGCCGTAAAAACCCTTATGTGTCTAGTATCAAAAAAAAAAGCTTACAAAAATTGAATCCAAACTTGCACAAATATACAGGGTGATGCATTTGAAATATTTGAAATTTTTGCGTTTTTGACCACCCTGTATCTGCAAAAATTAAAATTAGAAAAAGTAACAAATAAGATAAAAGCTGAGGTGTGTAAGTTTTTTTTTTGATACAAAATTCAGCACTCCCAATTTCAAATGGCGGACTGAGGGGTTGCGAAGAGGGGTGTTTCTAGACAAAACACCTTATATCTCAATAGCTAATTACCAAAATCCCATAGTATATTATATCAATTTTCTTCTTTTGAATTGGTTTATCCAAATATGCAATAAAATTCGAGGCATTCCATTTAAAAAATCACAACTTTGACATGTAGGTCGCAATTGGGCCAGCTTGTATAATGGTAAATATTTTAGAAATGTGCCCTCAAATGTCAAGTATAACATCCCATAAATAGATTTTCCCAAACTGTATTTGTTGATGAGTAATATTCCGTCCACACGTGGATGGGACACCCTGTATATATATATATATATATATCGTCGGACATCTTACAATACCTGCTATCTGACATTTTTGCCCAATATTAGGAATATGTACATTTTTCTTCGTCTACCTACAACGCACATTGTGATAGAGTTTGCTAACTGCAGAAAAATTTAGTTTTTGAATTATTCAGCCAAAACAATACCTACTGGCAACACGTCTGTCAATGAGCGGCAATTCTAGCTATCGCACAATTACGCGTGCTATTTTTCTCAACTTTGCAATGAAACACGACGTTGTGATTTCTCAGAAATATCTCACCAAACTCGCGATACACCCAAATGGAATGTGACTTTGTACACAGTTGCATTTAAAGAAAACTGAGAAATAGAGTTATTAAATTACCAAATGACTATGTTAAGGCGTCAAAAGAAGCTAGGACAAAACCAGAGCCATATAAGGTGATCCAATTGAGTTACGACTTCTTCAAGGACTACTCTCGAACTGAGGTGCAGCAATACTCAACAATTGGACCAGACAGGGACAATGTAGTCACGGACATCAAAGTACTATATTATAATCCCGATGGAAAAATTTAACTAGACAGTGTAGAGCCTCAGGAGTTGCCTATGAGACCAAAACAGCTACCTGTCATTTCAGATTATAAGTGTTATATCTAAAGACTGTCACATGTTTTACGACAATTTGCCATATGCCAAGGAAAGAAGCTGAACGTTCATTTAAGGTGTAACTGAGATTACATGCTATTATTTTTTTGATTTGTAAAAGCATTAAACTTTTAATTTGATATAATGAAGAACAGTTTTTCTAACACGAATCTCACTAAATCCATCTATGCGCCATAGTACAATATCTGCTAACTGCAAAGAAAGTTATCAGAAATATCAGCTATCTGCACTAATTCAATTAGAGCTTCATTTAGATAAAAACGCATTAAATATGTGTTAAACGTCATTTATTTTTTGTGACCAAAGTTGTAGAGTCTTAAGGTCTGTAGTATAAAATTGATAAGGTTTTTTTCGTCCCCTGTAAAATTATGGTTCCTGCATATAGCAGATATTGTCAGATATCCGACGATATATATATATATATATATATATATATATATATATATATATATAAATTGATTATTTCATTAATATATATATATACAGGGTGTTTCAGTTTATTGTTGCATAACTTTAAGATTCGATAGAACTTTTAAAATTAATCCATAAAGTCTATATAAACATGGGTCGAAAAATGCGTGGCTTCCGAAATACAGGGTGTTTAAATTTACGTTTTAAAATAGTTTTTTTTAAATATTTCAAACAATATTTGATGTATAACAGTGAAAATTGGTATACAAGGGTTTTTTGGTACGACAAAACGAACCATGGCCATATTTTTACTGTAGCCGCTAGAGGGCGCTCTCTACTGTACCTGTAGAGTATTAAAATGACCGAAAATTTTTTCTTAGTGCAATTTTTTGCTTTTTGAATAAAAAAAATTATTCTGCGCACTTTTCAACATAAAAAAGCTCTCCTGTGAGTTTTCGTTATAGTTAGCCGTTTTTGAGATATTTCGATTTTTAAGGTTCGATGCAGTTTTAATTATTTATGGGAAAATAATATTTTTTTTTACATTTTCGATTTGGGCATTACAAGTAATTAAGATGATCGTTTAGATTGTGTTTTTAAACACAGCAATAATTCCTAACTCCAAATAAACACAAAAAAACAGAATATTGATTTGTTTAATTTTCCAAATTATTTTTAACGAATTAAATTGATTATTTCATTAATATATTAATTAATTAATTATTTACAACTAAAATGCTATTGGATAGTTAGGACAAACATACAAAATCTAAAGTAGTTGCTCGAAATGTAAACCCAATTGTTCAATACACAATTCACATCGACGAATGATCGAACGTGGTATAGCATTATTCAAATAAGGCCTTATTTCATCACATGCATTCCTGATTCTGTCTATTAGCATATCTCTTGTGGTTACGGGAGTCTGGTACACTTTTTCTTTTAGAAATCCCCACACAAAGAAATCTAATGGATTTAGGTCAGGGGATCGTGGAGGCCAGGCGACTGGTCCTCCACGGCCGATCTATCTTTCTGGATAATTTTCGTCCAGCCAGTTCCTAACTATTCTCGAATAATCAGCTGGACAACCATCAAGCTGGAGCCAGGCCAATCTTCTTAAATCTAACATAACATCATCCCACATATTTGCATGTTCAGCCTTTAAAAATGCCAAGAAGGTCGCAGCATTTAACCTTGCAGGCAAAAGGTAGGGTCCAAATAGTCGATTACGGTAGATACCAATCCATACGTTCACACTAAATTCATGCTGAAAATTTCTTTCCCGAACTGCATGCGGATTTTCATGCGACCAAATATGTTGATTATGAAAATTTACCACTCCACGTCTAGTGAAGCATGACTCATCGGTCCATAAAAAGTTACTTAAAAACTCCCTATTATTATCAGTTCTATCAAGAATCCACTGACAAAATGTGATTCTTCGTTCTCCGTCCCCTGGCTGTAGGCCTTGCGCAGGTTGCAAATGTTAAGGACGTCTATGGTCATTTCCAAGAACATGGTGAACATGGCTTGCTGAAATTCCCAAGGCACCAGAAACTCTCCTAACACTTGTGGCCGGATGTCTATCAAACTCACGCAGAATCATACTGGTAAATCTGCGCTGACGAACATTTATGTTTTGATCCCTTTGGAGATTTCCAAAACCATTTAGAATTATTTGGCGATGCACTCTTACAAATACTGAGCGAGTTGGATGTCGTCTGTTTGGAAATCTTCGTGCGTATTCTCTGGCTGCTTCTGCTGCGTTTCCATTTACAAAGCCATACACAAAATGAATATCCGCTAACTCTTGATTGGAGAATAAAAATGGCATTTTTAAAAAATACAAAAAAAGACAGGTAAAAGAAACTAAATTTCGTGCATTCACAATTGCAAAAAAACGTTTCAGGTTTCAACAGACAACAAAACTAACTGTCAACTAATTGACGTTTAACCTTATTCTGCTTTCAATTTCAAAAATATTTCCAGGCACAGCCTACTTCTAAAAATTATCGAGATACTGACTTTTTAACGTTATTTTATCATAAATAATTAAAAATGCATCGAACCTTAAAAATCGAAATATCTCAAAAAGTGCTAACTATAACGAAAATTCACGAGAGCTTTTTTATGTTGAAAAGTGCGAAGAAACAATTTTTTTCTGCAAAAAGCAAAAAATTGCACTAAGAAAAAATTTAAGGTCATTTTAATACACTACAGGTACAGTAGAGAGCGCCCTCTAGCGGCTACAGAAAAACTATGCCCATGGTTCGTTTTGTCGTACCAAAAAACCCTTGTATCCAATTTTCACTGTTATACATCAAATATTGTTCGAAATATTTAAAAAAAACTATTTTAGAAAGTAAATGTTAACACCCTGTATTTCGGAAGCCACGCATTTTTCGACCCATGTTTATATAGACTTTACGCATTAATTTCAAAAGTTCTATCGAATCTTAAAGTTATGCAACAATAAACTGAAACACCCTGTATATATATATATACGAGATATACTTTGAAGTTGAGTCATTTATTTTAACAGTGAGTAGATCTGATCAAAAGAAATGTTTTTTTCCTTTAACATTTTTCTGGTGAAATTAAAGTAACAAAAGACGAGCAGTTGCCAGATGGTTTCCGGTATTTTCATCGTTAGTCAGTTTGAAGTTGATGAAATACTCTTGGCTCCTAATCTAGAGATTTTTCGTGTCTAGCTACAACTTCAACATGAGACTACCAGTTGCTTCGGAGAACGCAGAAGCAATGCAACTAAAGTCATACTCGGAATTAAGTCGACTTGCTATTGGTGGGAACATTACCTTAAAAATTTGTTAAGCCTACCTGACAACAGGAACATTACCACCGAAAACTGCCAACCTAAGAGCGGTAATTTCACCATGTTCTTCATGGTTGACTCTAGCTCCTAGGTCTAACAGATACTTGACACATTCCTCGTTGCCCTGAGATACAGCTAACGTCAGTACGGTTCTTCCTTCAGTGTCTGCCTCGTTGATGTTGGCGCCTAGTAATTATCCTTATTGTATTATTCGATAATGGTATGAGGTCAGAGCGCATTAATATATGGGGCCAACATGGCGGACAGCGTTTTCGCCGGTCTAATGTATTTTTGAATTAAAGTCTGATGGTCTTTTAGGTCTTAATAAAATATGGTTTTATTTTTTGGTCTAAATATTAACTATTTAAGGCCCGAAAAGTGTCAACTACCCTATTCGACTGGTTACCTTTTGGCGGGATATCTTAATCTATGAATTAAACAAAAATAGTCATTGAATACTGCTGATACATACCACCCTCTACCAGAGCCTTTATCACATCCAAATTGCCTGACCTGGCTGAAACATGCAGAGGAGTATGTCGATGTCTGCCACCTACTGCATTAACATCTGCTCCTTTCTTGATTAGCCATTTGACCATCTCTGCATGCCCATTAGCAGAAGCCGAATGGAGAGGGCTGGAATAAAAAAGACTTATTCCTATAGAAACATAACCTAATTTTTTTCTTTTTATTTCTGTTTGTCAAGTTGCTACGAGGGGTACTGAAAAATAAATCAACCCAGCCATGAAACAAAAGACGGTTTTTTTGATAATTTCATTTTTCAATATAATTTCCTCCTACATCAATTCACTTGCGCCATTTCTCCTCCAGTAAACTTATACCCTTATAGAATTCCTCTTGACTCTCAAAAAAGTCGTCCGCGGCTGCTTTTAGGCCATCATCTGGCTCAAAAACACGGCGTTTTCGAAGATTTTCCTTTAGTAATCTAGTGAGATAATTGTTGAAGCCAAGTCATAATGTGTGCCAAAATGTCAGAATCGTTGACTTTTCTAACCTGAATAATTTCTGTTCAGGTATCAACAGTCGTGGAACCCACCTGTCTGACATCTTACTGATGTTCAATTTGTCATGCAAGATGGTTATTAATCTGGGTTTTGATATATATGCAATGCCTTACCAAGGTAGAGACCTTCACACGACGATCTTCGAGAACCGTGGCTTCAATTTTCTGATACATTTTATCATTTGTTGCTGTTTTGGGATCGTCTACTATGGATTCACCTCTCCATCGAAAAGGTTTCAACCAAAATTTTATTGTGCAAAATATGATGGTACATTATCTCCATAGTCAAAAACCATTCTCTCAAGAATTGTTTTAGGCTCAAGGCACTTTTATCAGAAATTTTATAACACTGGGATACTCTAATTTTAAGTTACTCATTTTTCCTCGCAATTCACTTTACACAATTGGAAACTAATTATCAAAATTAACTCAAATTTTACAAGTAAGGCTATTACACCTGCCACTGTCTGACGTATTGTGCGTTTTTTTTTTTCATGGCTTGGTAGACTTCTTTTCTAGTGTCTCTCGTATATTCTTAACCTTTTTATGTAATTATCCCATTGTTTCTTTATCTCGCAGCCAACCAGGTATCCTTGATTATGGTGGTTAAAAAAAAAATGTGAAACGACTCGCGCTGCAATAGCAACGTTTCAGAGAATTTTTTGGAAAATAAGGTCCCGAGAAAATACGGCCCATTATCGGAGTTTGAAATTAATTGTGAATGTCTGAATCCCATCAGTCTGTATATTGTGGCCTATAAGTAAGATGGGCAAATACGTATAACTAATAAATAATCTAATCTTTGCACGAGGCCTGAAACCCGTAAAAAAAACATGGTACTAGCAAAAATGTATTAAGATGCCTATACTGGGTATTGTAGCACTTATATTATGTGTTTAACGTCAAGGTTCAAAATGATAACATGACACAAGAACATTGCATCTTGAGTGCTCAATAAATCTAATCTACTCTAAATCTTACAAACGTTGCTGTTTAACATGCATTTTTTGCATATTATTTTACATTTTATCATTGACTAACCTATTCTGATAGACAACAATTACAACTACATGGTATGTTATCATCCAGAAAATTAGTGACGAGGAAGTATTGCAATTAAGAAAAATTTCAATAATGACAGATTATGTTTATTGGATGTTATATGACATCTACATCACGAAAAAACACGTCACTCATTTCCGTTAGTCTGTCCGTCTGTCTGTCTGTAGGCCCATGTGTATGTCTATCTGTCCGTTAATCCTTGGCCCGTTTATGTCTTGGAAAGTAAGGATCCAGTGGCGGCGGAGAAAAAGTTCAAAACGAAAAAAATAATCGCTCAAACTTCGTTTTTGACGTATTGAAGGATCCTGGCCTACACTTAGGTGCAAAAAAATAGGGATGGGGGGTTATTCGGTAATTCTACGCACCTATTAGACAAATTGTACACATAATAGATTTCCCCATACATTCGCCCTTAAAACTTGGAATGATAGAGAAATGCTTCTGCTGTCTGGGATCACAGGCAAGCGGCGTTGGCGAGCCGAAAAATATGCATTCGGTAGACGGTGTCGTTGAAATTCGGTAGATGCAGTGACAAAATCGGTAGGAGGGAAAAATCAGGGCTGTCATAAGATCGGCGATGGATCAATGGACTTTGCGTTATGCAGCGCCCTCTATGAAAAAAACTAATATTTGTATTCCGCGAGCATGCACAATATGCAGTTTTTAAGGGCATTTGTTCCTGAAGAAACATCAACTTCTTTAATAAAACTTGTACCATAAGATTACTGGTCGCTCTTCAAACCCCTTTGAAACCATCATTGAAACGTTTTTTTATCATTCTCGTTTATAAGATTCTGGATATTTTTCTGTTTTACCCCTGCACTAGAAGCTGCATTAACTGACATTTTAATTTAATATTCAGTTACACACAAACGAACTTTGGTTTTGATATTGCTTGTCCGGTGATGCGGCAATGACGATGATCTACCAGTCTCTACCTGTTGTACGGACAAAAACCAATATAGGGAAAGAGGAATAAGAAATGTGCGTAGATATTTGCAGGCAACCCAAATCTACGTCCCTCGTAGACCCGACAGCCTAAGGGCGTTTGTCCACCGCCGCCGTCACCGGACCGTCACCGAAAACGAGATTATTTCGGGCCGAGTTTAATATGACGTAACGGCGATCGTTTGTCCACTGCGACCGATTTCGCTGGTTTAGTTTGTTCCACCTGTCATGCGTGGTAGTCGCGTTTTCGAAGAAATAAAGTGATGGCTAGGTTAAACCGGCGACAACTTCTTCTACTGCTTTTGTACCTTCGAAGGCGCAGGCGATGCAAAGAATTTTGGGTTCATCCGCTAATACGTGAACCATACATCACAGGGGCATTTTATGTACACCACGCCAAGTTGCGGCAGCATGACAAGAAATTTTTTAACTACTATAGGATGTCCACGACTACGTTCGATTATATCTTATATCATATTAAGGATAGCGTCACACTCCAAAACACGAACTACAGGACATGCATACCACCAACTGAAATGTTAGCTGTAACGTTGAGGTACGTAGTAAAATACTACTCCATCACCGCAACTAGAAGACGCATGTAGTGTTGTGAAGGTCTGTACAGTTGGTAATGTCAGTCAGCGTCACTAAATGCATCTTCTACTTGCGGCGATGTGTAGGAAGTCATACTTTTTATATTTTAATACTTATATTTATTTGAATAATAGTATGAACTTATGAATGACAGGTAGTCACCTTATATGATAGTATGAGTACCAGGGTGAAATTTTATAAAGCAACAAGTTACAATTCTACAGGCAAATTGACATTAATGACGCAGTCTCGAACAATCACGAATGCGGATTCCGTCAATGTTGCCAGTAATTTACCTGTAGCCTGTAACTTGTAGTTTTATAAAATAGGGCCCAGGTAGTTAGATTAAACTTACACACCTAATTTTTAGAAAAATCTTGGGAAAATAATCCACTAATAGATTGTATTTGTTGCCGAGGTGTGAACTGCTGGGTTTCATGCTGGGGTGAAATCAGTTGGTTTCCTTGCTGAGGTGCATATTGCTGGGTTTCATGCTGGGGTGAAATCAGTTGGTTTCCTTGCTGAGGTGCATACTGCTGGGTTGAAATCAGTTGGTTTCCTTGGTGAGGTGCATACTGCTGGGTTTCATGCTGGGGTGAAGTCAGTTGGTGGAAGTTACCATGATCGCTAGGTGTAGCGAAACGACTGCGGTTTTTAAATCTGCGAAGCAATTGCATAACTTCGATTCTAAAGTCAAACCTATCCTCGTCGTTCAATTGTTTGACGGATGGAAGGAGAGATATCATAAATGCACGGTCAACGTCAATTAATTCAGATTCCGATTCAGCGGAATTTGCCTGTATAGCTTTTAATATTTCTGCATCGACCGCATTTAGCCTTTTCGTTCCCCTTCGATTCGTGGATGTGGATGTGGATGGGGAAGGTATTGATTGGTCTAGGTTACTATGTGATGTTTGTTGGCTTTCGGGAAGACTTTCAGAATCATTTTGAGTTGGTATGCTTGAATCAGTTTCGTCGGGTGTTACAGTCTTGAGTAGAAATTGTACTTTATCACTGTAAATGTGCTTTTTTGCGGCTTGTCCTGACTTAGTCTTAAGAGACTTGATAAATGTGTCTCGAATATTACTCCACTTGTTCATGACAGCACTTGCTGAAACAATAAAATTTAACAATTAACTTTTATTACAGATACCAGATACCTTCACCGATGTCATATACCTTCCAACTGGGTATCAAGACTATAAGCAGAATAGTGACACAAGTGTGTCACCAAATATGGACTATTTTTAGTGGTGAACACTTGGCTGCGCCTACTACTGAGCGATGGTTATTAATAGCGGAAGGATTTAAACAAAGAGCTAATTTCCCCCAAACTGCATCGGTTGTGTCGATTTGTACTTCTGGCAGTAGTTGATTCAGATTACAGATTCGTATATGTTGATATCGGTTCATACTGTAAAGACTGCGACTCCGCAATTTTTCAACGTACAAACTTCTATCAACTACTCACTGAAGGCAGGTTGAGTATACCTCCACCTGTTCCACTGCACTCATCGCAAAATAACAGAATGCCACATGTTATACTAGGCGATGAAGCTTTCCAGCTCACGGAACATTTATTACGTCCTTTTGGCGGTAACCATTTAGATGTGAAAAAACATATTTATAACTATAGACATTGTCGTGCACGAAGATACGTTGAATGTGCATTTGGCATTATGGCCAATAAATGGCGAATATTTCATCGCCCTCTAAATGTAAACAAAAAACTTAGCAAAACTATAGTTAAGGAATGCGTCGTTTTGCATAATATTGTACGTGAAAAAGATGGCTACAGAGGTGAGGATATGTTCATGTCTTTTATGCACGATGGGCTGTCTGATCTACCAAGGGAAGGAAGTGTACTGCATGGTGGGCGTACTGCTAATGACATAAGAAATAATTTTGCTGAATACTTTGTAAGCCCAGAAGGCTCCTTACCTTGGCAGATGAATAAAATCTAAACTTGTAATTACTTAATTAAAAACATAAATAATAAACTATCACGTACTTACTAATTTCGTCTTTGTTTTTCTGGTCCATATCCTCAAAGTTCGGCTCTAAAAAGGCACAAACATCGCGCCATGCATTTCTACGCAAAACTTTATCTTTGGACACTTCCTTGGTTTTATCCCACAAACATTCTTTACTTTCTATAATTTCTATTAATGAATAAATATCGTATTTAAATTTTTTCGCCATTTTTATTACAGTGTTATACTAATTAATGATAATTGATTACAAACAAAATAATAACTGAGCTCGTGTACGATGCGACGGCGACGGCAGTGTGTGGACAAGTTCATACGTGTTTTGTATTGCCGGCACATCGGCCCGTCAAAATCTCGGGCGACGATCTAGCGGTCACGCCGATCTACTCGCAATTTCGGCGGCCGGGATGACGGCGCTCGGGTGAAGGATGTGCGGTGGACACGCGGCTAAGTAATGTAATGTAAATGTATGTACCGCTACTTCGGCGCCGTCATCTAGTTCTCGGTGACGTGACGGTGACGGCGGCGGTGGACAAACGCCGTAAGGGTACGCTTATGTATTACTGGTACATTTTTTTAGCTTTATTTTTGGTTCCAGCTCTTTTTCGGTAAAACATCTGGAAATATGTCTTATTTTAAAAAATAGTGTAAAATTGCGAAGTTTTCGGTATTTCAGTAAATAGGAAACGTAAATGTAAAAACAAAAACAACAGTTTTTTTTCAGACTTACCTGAAGTTACATATATCAGGTTGATCAAGACTCAGTGCATTTCCCATAGTGGCCAAAAGATATTCTAAAACTTCAATATTACCAGAGTTCACCGCATAGTGTATGACACCTTGCCCGTGTCTATCTAACCTACTTATATCCTTCTCCGGTGACTCAAGCACTATTGAAGTCCTAGTCAGAATATTAGCGTACCACTTGTAGATATTGGATTCTGGCGAGTCTTCACTAGGTTCTTCTGTAACGAATATTAACTATCAGCATGAGAGTTGAGAGGTAACAGTGAACAGTTGCTAGGGAATTAAGTACTGGTACTCTTTAACTGCATTCCGATCCAACTCGAATACTCGGTATTTTGAATCCTAGTCAGAATGGTATTCGGATACTATTCGAATACATTTGTGTGTGTTATTTAGTCTTCGACTGGATACTTTTTTGGTCACTACACGGTATTCTGGATTTTTAATACAGTTTCTGAATCCCAATATTCGGATATCTACTTTGTATTCAAATGCTGTATTGTTGATGCAATCATATTAGAGCCCTCTCCCTCTGAGATGCCAAGGCAAAGTCGCCAGCATGCGTAACCAAAATATCGCTTCAACCGCAAGTTTAACGTGGACTATCCGACCACAGCGGAGTGGGATTCCGGAAGGTCTCCGAAGGTCTGGTACACGGACGGCTCGGTTACTGAAGAGGGCTCTGGCGCCGGGGTCTTTGAGCCTAGAACTAGGCTCTCACTGTCTCTCGGCGGATACACCACTATTTTCCAGGGGGAAGGGCCTAGGAGAAGAATAACAGTCTTCTCCAACAATAATGTACAAAGGTCTATGTGAATACAATAAGTTGCCCCAGCAAATAAAAAACGCCGACTCAGTCGGGTATTTCAAGAAAGCACTTATCAAACACATAAGATCTGACAGAATTTGTTAAATTTATTGTATTTGAATATATATGTATGTACTTATGCAATGCTGTAATGCTACCAGTTGTTGTTGTTGAAATTAGGATTTTTTTTTTCTAAATAAAGGACTACTACTACTACAGCCAGACTGCGATGAAGGCACTAAAATTAATTCAGGGCTTGTATTGCAATGCAGGGAGGCTCTGGATAGTTTATCAACCAGGCATCCGGTACCGTTAGTGTGAGTACCGGGGCACTCTGGGATAAAGGGTTATGATATGGCGAACTCTCTCGCGAAAGCAGGATCAGCGGGCAAGCTTGTTGGTCCTGAGCCAGCCCTAAGGATGCTCGCGCAAAAAATCAGCAGGATAACAGAGAAATGGATTGCTAGACAACACTCTCTGAAATGGAGAAAAATTCTAGACATCTCCGTCAGGCATGGGAGCTCAACGTAGAGCACAGTGTTAAGGATGGACATTTTTGCTTATCTTTGAATAGAGCTAACCTAATGTTGTTGGTGAGTCTGCTGTCTAGCCATAACACGATGAGGCGTTACCTGAATGTGATGGAGTGGCTGAGGATCCCATGTATGAGTGCTGTGGGGTAGAGGAAGAGTCCTCGGCCGAATTTCCATGAATGTTAAGGAGCTGGGAATCAGGGCTATACTCAATTTCACTAGAAGTGCAAAACTTGCGGCTTAGAGGATGTCGTGGTGCATAAGGGCCCGTTATTTGGCTTATTGCTCCGGCTCCTCATGGAGGCCAGTAAGCTTCTAATTTATTCATTCATTCAACTAAAATAATCCATTGAAATATTGATTTTGACGCCTGTTGGTGAGGGAGGCATAGAACTGGTTATTTTGAGACTAGCTGTCAAAGGAACTGGAAAGCCTAGGATTTTTGTGGCTCCAGGGTCCAATTTCGATGTTAAAGTTGAGCCAAAATTTTCTGCTGTCAGGTTAATTCCAATTCCATATGCCATTGATTTGTATTTTTACCAGCAGAACGTGTAGGAGGCGTCGCTAATAAAGTGACCAAATTTTGCAAGTATGCAAGTTGACTGTCAATTTACTTTTTCCATCAATAATACAAAACCTGATCGGAATTTCATATCATTACTTAAAAACAATGTTTTGGGTTAGTAACAGTATCAAGCATATTAAGCAGTGGGTAACAGCTGGTGCAAGATAAAACGTTTGTATCACTTGATGGTCACAGGTTGAGTGCAGCAACTGCTGGCTGTGATGTTGCTGGTGGATGCATACATAATATAAAATCCTGCCTACAACCTTCGCTGGTATCAATTAGCAAGTAGGTATACAAATTTTTACATCTCTCCATATTGTGGTTCAGCCATGAAGCTGACAGACAAAGATAGACAATCATATTTATATAAAGAGAAGAAGATACTTGACCACAAAGCATTAAGAGTTTGTATGACAAATAACCCAATAACTATTCAGTGTTATACTTGAAGTAAAACAAAACACCAAACAAGTCTAAATCAAAATGATTATGCTAAGTAGTCAAATGTTGAAATGCGGTAAATGCATGTTGCAAAGCCCTATTTTTTCCTCTTCTCATTTCAGTTGGACCAGCAACTGAGCACTTCCATGCCAGATAACACATGTCAAATGTCATCAAGCCATTTGAGCTATAGTATGTGAAATAGATATTTCAAGGTTACTTTCTGGGATAAAAATTAGCCTATATGTTTCCAGACTATAATCTCTGTGCCAAACTTCAGCTAGATGTACTCAGCCATTTTGGCCATGATTGAGTGACAAACATCCACACTCTCTTACTTATAATATTGAAATTTAAGTAGGGATTATAAGAAACAATACATAAGCATGAATCAATCTTCAACAATCTAGTGAGGAGTAGCCCCTTTCAAAACATAAACAGGAATTGAAGGTTTAAATATAATTCAAATTATGTTTATTAAGAAATTGATTTATATTTAGTCCTGAACCTGATCCTTCACAGACTCTGAATAATCTTTTTACCTGCTTGAGGGTCATTAACTTCCATATCCCATTCTAAGGCCTCCATGCCATCTGGAGTAGGGCCATCTCCAAATTCATTTTCTTCCACATCTCTGCAGACTACAAAATACCCTATATTCTTATACTTTTTCTGACAGTCTGTGTTTAAATTTAAATATTGAGGCTTGCAATTGTCATTTTGATGGTCTAGGTTTAAGGTAGAACTATGGTACTCTATTAAAGCTTTTAATACTGATAGGTTCCCAGTTTGTGCTGCAGCTCCTAATGGGGTCATACCATTACGACAGATTTTGTTTATATTGATGCCTAAAAACACAGAAATAAATCATTATACTTGAAAATGTATAGAAATGAATAACCTCTTGTCAAAAAACAACTAATGAAATTCACGTCATTCTCGTATATTGCCTGCATCAAAAGCTCATCAGGGCGTTCCTTTGAATCCATTTGATTTCAGTTAGGGATGTTCTTCCCTTACATTATCCCAGTATTATCTCAAATTTTCCGGAATATGCAAGTCGGGTGAAAAAACATCAATTATGGCTTCTTTTTGAGCACTTTGCATCATCTTTATCAAACAATAGGTCGTTAGAACGACTTGAGATGCCTATTACCACACCTATTACAAGTTACAATAAAAATTTCTGAATCGCTATTTATTGATTTTTTTGTACAAAAAAATTGTGGAAAACACAATTTGACATTTATGACAAAGCTGACGCAGACCAGTGTTGCCAGAGCGAAGTTTAAAATATCCGTCACACGTATCGCAAAATTCCGCTACATGCCGCTACGGTCTAAAAATTTAAGGGGGGGGGGGAGGCTTAAAATAAACAACAAATATATTTTTTACATATTTACTTTTTTTTAAACACTGTCTAAAAACCCTACTAAAAATACAAACAGTAACATAATATAATTGCAATTTTTCGAAAAAACATAAAAAGTATACCTCTAAAAAAACAAAACTATCTTTGGTTTAGAATTAGGAATTAATAAACAAATAGAAACTATCACCAATATCTTAATCTTAATAGAAAAAAAAACAAAAATAAGGACAAAGAAGAAGCGGAAACGTGGAAATGCCTACGTTTGCTTATTTTATTCACAGTCAGAATCAGAAATTACTTCTTCTTCAACTTGTTCTTCCTTATTTACATTATATAAATTCTTTTTATATTTGTTTAAATGATTCTCATTAAAACTATAGGATAAACAGCACTGTTTTTTTGATTCCAAGTCTAATTTAATTGTAAGTAGTGCAGACAAAGTTGATGGTATTATTTTATTTCTTTTTTCTGTTTTGTAATCAAGCATATAATAAAAAGTTCGCTCAACATCAGCGTTTCCATGAGGCAATGTTAAAATTAGAGCCAGTTTACCTATATTGCGAAATAAATATTCGTCATTAAAATTTTTGAGGTCGTTTACAAACCAAAACCAAAATTCAATGACATTACTTTTTGTTTTTAAAATTTCCTCTTTCTCACTATCACTAAAATAAATACATATTTTCTTTAGTTCCAAAATTGCCTTTTCGGTTTCAATATGAAGGGCAAATTTTTTTAAAACGGCGTCATGGAAGGTATCACTTATAATAAGACGATTGTTCATCACATCAACCAGTGAGAAAAACTTTTGCTCTGAAAAGAAGTTGCCTTTGATAGGAAATCTTTTAAGGGACTCTTCTACCGATTTTTGGTAAAATGTGACACATTTTAATTTAAATTGTTCGATTGCCGTGTTATTGCAGTGTTTTATTGCATCCATTGTATGCGGACCAACATTCACTTGTTCAATTGGTAATAAGCAGTGGGGATCATTAGGATTTAGATTATATAATTTCTCATTTTTAAAATATTCTGGTCGCATAAAGTTTGTACATAGATGACGTACAAATCGCTCACTCTCTATTGATATGATATTGAGCATAACTTTCTCTGATTGAAAGAGAGCATTAAATTGGTTAAAAATGGGCAATACGAATTTAAAAAACATTAAATACGCCTTAACAAATGGAATCTGTAACTCATTAAGTATTACATTTGCTACAGGATTTTTGTCTTCAATGGAGGCTAATCTAAATAGGCTAAGCAAGATGTCCCACTGATCCAAAACTCTATCAACACACTTGGATAAAGCAAGCCACCTTGTTTTACTAGGGCTTAAAATTTTTAATTTTGACTTTTTGAAATATTCCTGTAATTCTTCACGAACACACTGCCTTTTTGGGCTTCTTGAGAAGTAAGAATATAAGTTTTGTAACAGAGCTTCAACGTTGCTTGGAATCTTTTCAGCTGCCGCCACCGCCACTAAATGAGCAGAGGGGCAAATGCAGCCATTGACAATTGTATTAGGATTATCTTTTAAAAGATAAGTTTTGAAAGATTCGTTATTGCCCATCATAACACTAGCGTTGTCGAAACAGTATCCAACAATATTGGTAATTTTTACTTGATTGGTTATAACGCATTTTTTAAAAAGAGAATATAAGCCTTTGACGGTACCTTCATCTGCGTTTATTTTAATTATATCTAATAAATGGGTTTTAATTGAATTTTTATGAATATACCTTACAAGAATGCATAGTAGTCTTGTATTGATCAGGTCTGTACTCTCATCCAATAAAATAGAAAATGGTTTATTTTCCAGTTCTGAAATTATTTCGTCTTTAATAACAGGAGCCAGCACATTTTTAATTACACTTATGCATTTGGATCTTTTTAATTTAAGTGAGCTAGAGAGATCTGGGTCTTTAAAACATAATTGACTAACTCCTGTTATATGATCAACAGTACTAAAACTTATATAATGACTTACAACTAAAAGACTATATCTTAAGCAAGCAAATATTTGCCGTTTTTCCAACTCACGTGCTTCCCGAGACTGAAAAGTGCTATCTAACGTTCTTACATTCGAAATTGCTTGTACATTAGTGGCATGCCTTTTTGATTTCGAATGATTCACTAAATCTGATTTTTTAGCACCCATTATTTGATTACAAGCTTTACATTTTGCTTTCAACTTGTCATTTTCAATAGGTCCCAACCAGCCTTTAAATAACGGATCTTCTAGCCATGATGAAGTAAACATTTGTTTTCGTGTCTTTTTCTTAACAGATTGCTCTGGCTCTTGGTTATCATGAGATTCGCATTATCCAGAAGAAAAAGCGTTAAAAACAAATTTCGCGACTTAGATTTATTTCTGGATCAAACTATAATATGTTAGATATTTAAGCAGTTTTGTTACTTACCAGTAGATTTAATATTAAAATCTGCAGCAAATGATATATCAATAAAATGATCAACACAAAAATAAGAACACTAATATAAACGAAACTAAACAGTATATACCCAGAGCTGAAAAATACAATACAAAGCGAGAAACCTAATATTATGTCTGCGTGCTGAGACCTGTTAGAAACGATTAGTATTGAAAGCAGTACGTACGCCATCTGTTATTGAAAAAAAAGGCAAGTGGAATAATTCTCTTCTCTGTTCCTAGATGGCTCAAGCGGCACCAAATGCACCAATTTTATTAATTGGATAATAAATCAGACTCTAGCCACTGCCTATTTAGGATTTAGAACGTTATTAACATTAAAACAGTGAAATAAATATGATAGTTTTGTATGTAATAAATTCCGCTACATTTTGGGCTAATTTGCTCTACCGCCGCTACGTCGTTCTTCTCAAAATAATCCGCTACAAATAGCGGAATTCTGCTACGTATGGCAACACTGACGCAGACGCATCGCAGATGTCATGGCATCTAAGGCCTGTCATTAATGTTATTTTTTTTACCCTGAGTTTGCGACTCTGTATTGGAGCGCCACCTGACCGGCCAATCCCATTACCTTGGGGTGGGGGGTGGGGGGGGGGGGGGGTTGAGGGAGGGGGAGTGTCTTGGGGGGTCTTCTCGAATGGTCAATGTCGCATGCGAGATGCTAAAATGTCACGCGAAACATAAACCTCCGTCTTGCAACCGACATTTCAGAAAATGTCCAAGGACAACATAGTAGCTTGCGGGAACTTGGTTACTTTTACCTTCGTTATCGACCACCTTTTTCGAACATTCGAACACCCATTTAAAATCACTTACTTTGATAATAGAGGCAGCGCATTGACAAATATTAACAAAATCACAAAAAGAAAACCCTAGTGCTGCATCCGAGCATATGTCACATACGACACCGATGTCGAAACTTGGACTCAAATTTGCTGCAGCTTTCGACATTTTCCTGCGACATATCTCAAATGGGATACTCGAGAACACCAGCCATGGTTAGCATAGAAAAATAAAACTTCCACAGACGCTATACTCTTTCAGTCCTTCTGTTTGACGTGCCGACCGTAGAAATAACTTTTCGAAAAGCTTGAGCTTAATGGTATTAAATTTGAGTCAGTGTCGTAACGTATGACAAATAAACAAACTATCTCAAACCCTGTATGCAGTCCATACAGTTCACGCAAGGTGCTATTAAGCTCAAATAGGATTGGTTAGCCTCAGAGATGACAGCTAGTGATCAGTCTATCTCAATAAATAGCATACACGTAGTTATAAATCAGGAATTCTGGTAGAACTAAATAAATTTGAACTTGAGTCGCAGCCACATTCCAGTAAGAAGGTGGGAAAAGAAAGAAGTATATGACCAGCTTAAGGATAAGCAAATGCTGTGTTGCCCATCTTCTGAATTTTCCTTGAAGCTGCAAGAAATTAGATTTATTAAATCACCTTTTTAATCAAGTAGCAGCTACCGACCATTTATTACTCGGTAGTTTTAATGTAGCAGTGGCGACACTGTCTACGTTGCAGAAAGAAGTAATATAAATGACCGCTAAATAGCAGGATTTGGCAATGTCGCAGCCACCCCACGGCAGATGTATATGCAACCGGTTATACTGCCGTGCTTAGCGATAACACCGCATCTACAAAAAATAAAGCATGGAGGAAAACATGTTTTTTCTTTTTTTCAGAGCCGTAAGAGAGTTCAAATACTTTCGCTGCCTTCTATTGTCATAACCCAGTATATTCAATTGAGAAAACATATTTTCACAAAAATGTAAAAAAAAATGACTGGTTTTATTTTCAAGCCAGATACTGCATTTCTCTTAAGCAAGAAGTATAATGAAAGTCACATGTTGCTTGAGATTATTGCGGTACTGCGTTTTTGCTAAGTGTTTCTGGTAATTACTTTCCAATAATTTGTGACAGATAGAATTATACTCTCGATATATTTAAAAACAGACTTTTTGTTTTGATTCTCTTACAAACTAAAAACAAAAATACAAATATTCATAATGATATGCGCTAAATACCAAAGAACAACACTAATTGAAATCAGCTCTAGCAGGTATATTTCGCCAAAAATCTTTTCTGTTTTCAGGCATTATTGTATTCAACACTTTTAAAATGTTTTCCTTTTTTTCTGAATTAAAACCGCGAGGCTTATGTAACGGCTCCGGCAATTTCATACCATTGGGCTTGGTTGCTTTAAACTGTAGAAAATCTAAACAATTATTCGGCTCCCATTCCGAATGTGAGGTTTTGAAAAGAAGATAATATTGCCCTCTGCGAGCGGTAATCTGAACAATGTCTTTGAGATAAATTCGATTCATTTGTTTCTTTAATTTTTGTTGTGAAACGAAAGATTTGAAAGAATAGAAATCTGAAAAAGACATGTTTTTGATTTCTACTGCTCCCTTATTTGTTTGGGATACAGCATTAAC